GAGCAGCAGCCGGGAGCAAAGGTGCTAAAGTAGACGTCTAGGTAAGGCGATATAAGGTAATCACGTAAAAACAGCTTGTCTGAGGAATACGTCTAATGGGCAGAAAGAGAAACGAATGAGGTGGAGTGAGCCGTGAGATGGAGCTCACACCCACCCAGGAGCACAGACCACCCCTCAGAAAGTTGCTTGGGGAAATTGTCATATGTGAAGTTCTCTCAGAGGACCCTCAGCAAAGAACCGCCGCCAAGGAAGCACCTCCTGACTCTGTAGCAGCCCCAGGGGGGCTCAGATCTCTTCCTGAGATGTGACTCCAGACACTCTGCTGTTTCTAAAATACATGAGTACACTCAGTGTTCATGTTACATACAGGCAGAGCCGTATCTTCACTTACCAAACACTCCCAAGGGATTGCTGTCCAGTTTGCTGTAGGAGTGTAGGCAAGGAATGAGTACAGCAGTATTCTGCATCTGTGTTTTCAGCCTATGCTTTGCAAACCTCCTTCCCCTGAGGTGGAACAGAGGCTCACAGACTATTTTTAAGGGGGCGTAAAAATAACTTAGTAAAGTAAATTTGAATTTAGGCTAATTAATACACAAACCAAGGGTCTGCATTTCTACAGGGAGCTATGGAAAAGCTTGGAAACCACTTATCTAGAACACTAAACCCAGTGTGTGGTCACATTCTCAGAAGACTATCAAGCCTTCTGGTGGTTTGTCTTAGTAAGACTAACAGAACTAAGAGAACTGAGTTCTCTGGTTTCATCTTTCTGTAAAGATACTGCAGACAATAGGAAGGTAAAACATGCCCATACTTAAAAGGAACTGACTTTCTTGCTACTTTCTGTGCATTATCCTTCCCATATGCTTTGATGCAGTTACCGTGTATTCAGCAAACAAATATCTCCTTGTTAGTGGTCTCCAATAAACATTCATTCTGTGGCATGGGTTTTGCCCACTTTTAGTTTAAGAAGTAATCCTACTGAGAGAAAAATGGTTTATTTGCTCAGTAAGTTTTTCATAAAGAAAGTATTTTTAGTAATACATTTTCTCTAAGCAGACTGAGGATTTTTAAGCCACCTAAGCGTGCACAAAGCAAGTATGATGAATGAAACACCTACCACTAGGCTCAGGTGATTTTTATGGTTTTGCCAAATATTTGCTATCAGAATCAGATATATCAAGTATTGCTATCAGAAAATTGTTCTTCTGGTTTGAAAACAATGCCTTCCATGCTTACATCTCGTTAGGCAGGTGTTTATTTTCAGCTGGGCCTCTGAATAGGCTTATTTCTTAACAGAGAACCAGCTGCTTTTTCGGGCTTGGCTTACAAAAAGTTTATCAAGAAGCTGTAAATCCACTGTACTTTTCATCCAAATGTTTTCAAACAAACCACCAACCATTCACATACAAGTAACATGATGATATCTCCAAGCTAGGAATTTTGAAAGATAGCGGGGGAAAAAAAGTATACTATTAAAAGCAAAATCTAAAAATATATTTAGGTGAAAAACTGTTTCTCTAGGTTGAAGAGAACTGAGCACACGGTCCAGTTAACAGATCCCATTTACAGCTTTTTTTTTGTGACTATGGTTTTACTGTATCATTAGTGTGCATTGAGAAACCAACAGACATTGCAAGATTTGTAATGAAAGTGTAAAACATAAGATTGCTGAAGTGCATTAGCTATTCCAACCTGCTATGTCATAGATTTTGAAGCTAGATATGAAGATCTTTTTTATTCTACAGTCTTCACCCAAGTACTCTGGAAGCAAGCTCCCTCATCCCATTAGAGCTACTGTGTATCTTTGATAAGGACATGCAGCTCTCCATTAAGAACCTGCAAGTGATGTTACATGACACTTTGTCAATGGTTAACCGATTTAATTTACACAGTCCCAACGATTTCTTCTCCATGGCTGGGGTGTTAATCTGAAAAACTGCTTACAGCTGTCTTCTGCAATACAGAACCTTCTTGACAAGCCTACTCACATTTAATTCAATCTTTCCTCATAAATTTCTCCCCTTCACTGATTCATTGCTGTCTCCTGAATCACTGAAATTGTTTTAGTAGTGAAATAAATTCACTAAGTAGACTGCTCTTGTACACTATAGGACACTGCTCAAGGGCTGGATTCGACTACTTGAAATTTGCATCAAGATGCCTGCTCCGTTTTGGTGTGTCTCACAGACATCCTGCTCTCTGACTTCTTTTCTGCACCTAAAAACTTACAGTGCAATTCATTTTTGCTCTGTGCATAGAGTCTCTCTTTTTGACCTGCATTTTAATGTCAGAGATATCTTATGCTGTTTCTACGTCTTCATTGGTGTTGCAGCAGTTCCCATTGTTACCATCTGCAGATTTCATTAACATAATGTTTACACACCCGATTCCAGGTCATTAATATTAAAGATATTAAGTCTGGCTCTACTTACCTTCCCCTGTATATCTCCCTAGGCACCTGCTCCCAGCTGTTTTAACACTGCTGTTTGTAATTCTTCTGCTCAGATGACTGTTCAGTTAAACTGAATTTTTTTCATATCAGCATTTATGAGAAAGAATCAAATATATTACTCAGAGATCTGTTCACCCCCCTGCATTGCCTGTATCCCAAGTTTGTCATTCTAAGTGTGGAAGAATTAGGTTTGACTGGCTTAAAGCTTAGATAATCCTTATGTAGCTTCTTTCCTTATCTTTGTTCTGTGCTTACTATTTATTTTCCATTACTTGGTCTTTTAATTTGGTTATACAGAAATCAAGACTTACATCATTTTTGGCTTGCTGCAACCCAGAGATACAGGGGTTGTACATGGATTGCACCACAGATCCATCTGGTCCCCAATCCTGCTGCTAGCAGCAACCAACAGGTGGTATTTAAAGCTAAAGTTAGCAGAAAAGTATTCATCTGTCTGATACTGAAATTCCACCCTGATGGCCACAGGAGATCAGTATATAACTCAGGGCACAAAGTTTAATCACATGAATTGCTCTTTACTCTGCAGAGCTATAAAGAGACAGCAGAGTTCCCTGAAGGCAGTTAGGCATGTTGGATTTGTTCAGCAGTTCAGGAAGCTGACCTAAAAATTACCCAGTTTTTTTAAAAAAATAAAGCCAGCAGCAGAAGCTTTGCCATGAAATCATCATTTCATGAAATCCATCAGGCAGACTGTGTGCCAGTTTGTGGCACCCATCCAGGAGCTGCTTGTCCTTTTTAGCAGCATTACTAAATGGACAGTCAATGATATCCAGAAAGCCTTCTTCTACAAGGAGGTTCTGCAGGGGTCATGGTCCTTGGCTACTCCTATGGTTCAGAGTTGCTTAAATAGTATTAGTGATATGGGCTGACCTACAAAACTCTGCCAAAAGCACAGGATGGGTGCCACTTGTTAAAATTTACAGAAGCCATAATCATGGTGAATCTTTACCAATGCAAGCTCAGCTCTACAGGTGCACAGACAAGATTCTCATGGACAAGAACCATTATAAAAAGGATTAATTTTAAATGCATATCTAAGTGTTTGCAGGGTCTGATCATAAAGCTCAGAGTAATTGTTGAAAAATCCCACTGAAGTCAACAGCATTTTTACAGGTAGTCTTAATTTGTGATTCCATTCTTGGGGCTGCAGAGCATAGGTGCCATTCATTAATCAGCTGTACACATCACCTCTATTTTTATTTTCTGTTTTCTTAAGGTTGTAATAACAGTCATAGCCATTTTGTAGGAATACATTGAGTCTTCTGCAAACACACCTCTGCATGACTTTAGCAAAAATTCTTTATGTGTATTCAAGAAGTCATTCACGTTTCTAAATTTCCAAATCCCATGGTTTCCGTGTCTGCCTCTGGGGCCTAATCCTGTGTATACTAAGGGTTATTTACAGAGATTTAACTTTTATTGTTAGTGTTGCTCTGATCATG